TATTCTACTCTAACACAGTTGCCCTGTTAGCCTTAACAGTATTTCTTGTTCACAGAAATAAACTCTATAATGAAGCTATATTTACAAGAAATAGAAAGCCTAATGATCCATTTTCAGACTACAGTATTTAGTTTTTAATGTAAAATTACTGAGGATGTAAGAAAAGCAGCTGAAGAGAAAATAGAACAAATGGTTACCAGCAGTTAACACCTGAGTGTGAGAGATTCACAGCCCTTCCACAAACAGGAGGTGACAGGAAGTGGGCTGAAGTGGGCTGGCCTGACCAACAAGATAAACTTCATAGTGCCAAAATGCACTCAATCATTGCAGAAAGGCCTTCTCATCTCAAGAGAACAAAGGGAGGTGGGTACAATTTAAGGTTACCAGTTTTTAAGTAACCCAATAGGAGACAGTAAAACCCAGAGAAGGAGAGATCTGGGAGGAGTGACCAGCCCTGAGGATCTACTCAGACAATGAGGAACCAGGGAAGAAGCCCTGAACACTAGGGAGTAAAATGCTGATTGAGACTGCTCTGGGTGTGCCTGTTCCCCCAGACACCCAATCTTGCAAGACTGTCAGTAAGAGCCTTGCTTTTTGCTATACCTGTGTTTCTTAGTCATTTCTTTGGGTTTGGGCAGGTGAGCTTGTTTCTCACATTTATTTATTTAATAAAATTAATAAGCCAGGCAGCAGGGTACTAAAGTCAACTATAAATATATATATATAGTCAACTAATATATATATATATTAGTTGACTTTAGTACCATATATATATATATATAATATATATATATATTAAAGAGAGAGAGAGAGAGAGAGAGGAGAGACAGCCGTGGTGAAAGCATTTAAGCTGAAGGCTAAAGGAATGTTAGGTGGCCTGAGGAGAAGGTGCATCTCATAAGCAGAGAACTGTGTTAAAATAACTTGGAATCAGGAAGATATATAGTAACTGTGGGAAAGAAAATATTTTTTTCTGGAGCAGATTGTGTGGAAGGTAAGTAGGGAAGAAAGGTTGACTAGGGCCTGGAGCCCCTTAAATGCCAAGGCCAACATTTCAGAATTGAGACATCCTTGACAGTGGAACTAGTACACATACAACCAATGAACAGGGGAAGACTTTGGACAATACTTTTTTTTGGTACCAGGGATTGAATCCAGGGGTCTTAACCACTGAGCAACACCCCCCCTTCT